TTTGCCAACATGTTGTCAGTGTCAGTACATGGTCCTAAAAGTACCAGTGTGTAGGATTTAGTGGCTTCAGTGGTGTGCCACCCATCTTCTAAATGTAAATGAGAAACTAGTGACCATAAAACTTGTCCATTTTGGGCCACTGCAAAAATATGATGGTTAAACATGGTGGCCTCCGTAGAAAATAACCCCTGTAGATGTCTATCCCTCTGTAGATAAAAACAGCTAATTCAAAGATAACCTATATAAACCAGAGATTTGAATGGGATGTTTACAGTAGTTCCCTAATACTTTCATACTTGGAGCAAACTGTGCAGTAGTTTGCTAGGAAAGTGTTGCATTTTAAAGCATCTTTTTTGCATCACAAAACATATACAACATTAATCAGAGTTTTGAAAATCAAGAACTGGGAGAACACAAAATTTCACATACCAATTAACAAACACATCAGTGGCAGGCAGAGGAGAATTTAGAGTGGTGATTGTGCTGTGCTCTACTACACAAAACCTGCAGTAAAGGACCTGAGCTTGAAAAGAAATGCACAGAGAGCGTCTGAAGTGCTTGCAGAGAGAAGAGGAGTTAGACCATGCAGACTTAGGTGGATATGACAGGCTATTCAAAACTGTCAACAGCCTGTGGTTTATAGTCTCAGGTAATGAAAATCCCTCTGTGCTTGAAATGAAGTCCAATAATGTTGACAAAGTAATCTCAGCTGAAGCCTTGTTGTAAGCGTAGGGACACAGGATCGGACATTTCTAAATGGATTGTGAATAATTTGAACTTCTTCTCTTCTCAGTAATGGGAAACACCAACCATTGAAACAGAGATTTTAGGTTAAACTTACACAATAATCATGTAATCTAGTGAACATTTGATAATTACCTAATAATCATGTAGTCTGGGGAAACTGCTTCCCCAGAGATACATGACAAATTTGGTTACAGCTCCTGTTTCATAACTGCTTTTTACAGCTGCAGAACAACAGTAATCATGTTTAGTATAGCTTCCTACTCCGTATTTTTGCAATTGTTTATGTAAACAAAATAAAAAAGAGAGAAATAAAGATAGATAAGATAGTGAAAGAAACATAATGCTCTACAATATCTCCAGTTGTCTTGTAACATAAACACTCAAAAGTCAGATAATGCATGGGTGAGTCAAGCCACAAATTTCAAGTCAAAGTCAAGCATTGGACAAAATGTGTTTATACTGCCAGTTGTCTTCTTATAATGATCAGTAACCACAAATGTACACAATCAACAATACAATGAGAGTGTACATTATAACTTTATAATAGTAAATTCTGTCAGTAATGACTGTTCATACAATGACATTCTTTTGCAGATACTTTCTGTTCATGGGTCAATTTGTACTCAACTTATAAGTCCTATTCCTATCCTTGACATTTAATGTATAAACATCAAAGTGAGGCATGAAAAGGTCTCCGCTGACTTTCCTCTCCCTCTGAAACCAAGTTGTTTTATTCTTGTTCCTGCTCTGTGTGACCCATTATCTGCCCCAACCTATAATTATCTGTTATGGGTACTCCGGAGAGCTTCAATTTAACCTTTCAATTAGAATAAAACTTTCTCACTTCATTCAATCTACTTTTCACTAACATTTTAATGAGATAACACACTGTAACAGATTGGTTCATAGGTTCAATGAAACTATTAATGATTCTAAATATTGATCCCTGTCTTTTCTGCTTTGTGATTGGTTAACAGAAGTATGTGACAGCCCACTGGTGACCAATCTGCCGCCGTCTTCATTCAGAAGCTCCTCCCAGCTAACCAGCAGCCATGGGCCGGTCTTTGCCAAGGTCAACAGGAGAGAAGGTGAGGAACCATTCATTGCTATGTCCATTGTCCAACTTAAATATTTTACCACTTGCAGCGACTGCAAATTTCACAGACGGATTTATACCCTGGACAGCGTCATAAATAATCACCGAGCGGATCCGGGCATTGACTATACTGCAGGCTTACTTTGCTTGGTGCAGGATTTTGTTTCAGTGTCTCATTTAAAGCTACACTGGAGAGCTTTACGCCTCAGTAAACCCAGGTTTTAAAAGTTTGAGTGACTTTATTACACAGAATTCATTACTCATACTTAATCTAACATAGCTGTAAAATCCTTATTAGTGTGTAAAAGAGGTGTCGACAATGATTCAGTCATTGTTGATTAAACCCTGTTTCTCTGAAGAGAGAGGGCTCAATCACTGCTGTTTAAGACACTATTTTCTATAAATTTAACGCATTTAAGCATTTTGATTTGCAGGGATGGGACCGTTCTTGAAGAAAGAATTTTAGATTTACATTGTGCAATTTAACTTGAATGATACTCCTGAAGTTGTTTCCAGATGCTGATTCTGCGGTTTAAACCAGCGGTGCGAAAACATTGTTTGTGGCTGCATCTGGTGCTCCTTGTCTATGTGTGTCCCCTGCATATATATGTACCTTGCTTTGTAAATCTTCTGTGTTTGGTAATGTTTTTGATTGGGTCTTGCTGGATTATCAGTTTAGGTGTTTCCACTGTACCTTTAGGGAATCAAGAACCTTTTGGAGGAACTTTTTTGTGTTTTGCCCGGAAGAACGAGGCAATAAATTCTGTTTGTGTACAGTAGTTTAAAGTGTAAAAAATACCTCTGTTCTGGAGATAGTACTTTCTGATGGTTCCGCGTCACTGATTGGTCACACATAGATCTGCAACTTCAGCATGTGTACAATTTACATTCACAGCGTGAGGAGGTACATGGTGCCTATAACAAAAGGTGTACATTGTCTGTTGTTTATTAATGTTAAAAACAACTGTTTTAAAGAAAGGCTTTCAGCAATGTAAAATGAGAGAGAGAGAGTGAACAGTGGTTGATAGAGCTAGAGAGTGAACCAGAGAAACAAAGCTTAATTTTATGATAGTTTCATGGCAAATCAGAGATAATTTACCAAAGACTCAGTAGATTATCTTCTTTAGAAACAGACAATCAAGAGTCTCCTGTTTTCGTCTCTGTATGTCTCTTTTTCTTTTATTTATTCATTACATCCATTAGAATCACAAACCAATTAACACTAAAAGAACATCAGGGTGTTGTTTCCCTGTGTGTGAAAATTGCAATTCAAATGCTGGCATGTTTTCTAAAAATCCATCACTGGGCTAATTTGCCTAATCTTCACAGCTCTTCAGATGCGGTGGAAAACACGCAAATGCGAATGTGCAAAAGGACTTTTCAGTTTCATTCCTCTGATTCCACAGTACCTGGAAGTATCTGGTCAGAAAAAAAGCTAAATGTACAGATTGATGTTCCCTATAGCTTAAGCTCCATGGCTAAAACTCTTCTCTAACCTTTTCTGTTACAGCTGTGACCTTTTCCATTTTTTCACAGTTGTGTTTCAAACCATAAACAGTGAGGGGTTTGAGGGGCCGGCTATCCATAAAAAGTTTTGCCCTGTGCAGCTTTAAACTTTATGCACTCGGTCAGTTGTTGACATCAGCTGTCAAAAAGCAGCTCCAGGCCAGTGAAATGTTGGGAACAGACTGAGAAAAAGCAATGTCCCTCGACTGAATCTCCCTCTTTTTTTTACTGAGATGTGTTGTGTTCTGTGGGCTGCAGTGGTGCATTTTCCCCTTAGTGCAGGAGAGTCTTCTCTACAGGACGCAGAGCGAAAAACATCAAAGGCAAACCTCAATTGGATTCACTCAGTCTGAGAGTACCTCTGTGGTGGCTAGGAGTAGAGACAGAGATAAAGAGGATACATAGACAGATAGACAGATAGATAGGACAGCAGTTACTGCCAGCTATCTGTATTGTATATAAAAATGCATTGGAATTATATTAGACTAGTACATCAAAAACTCTCCACAGGGCCACCTCCTCTCAATAGGGGTGTAAATCTAAGTTGTGATTCTCCCACAACAATAAAAATTCAAGAGGGAGCTCTCTACTGGATGCTGATGTGGGGTTTTGTGAAGGGCTATCATGGCTTGTTTTTGAGTTTTTTGGAGGGAACAGTTTGCAGATTTCTTCATTTACGGAGCTCAGCGGCTGACTTTGGTTCCACAGCAGAGAATTATCAGGGAGTCTGAGATTTCTTTTACTTTTACTCCTACTATAAGAATAATTTGACCAACTTGGAGACAAATTGAAGATACACCAGCAGAATGTTGTTTTTTTGACTGTGTGATTGATTGATTGTTAAGGGTGATCATTTCTTTTCCTATATAACACATTCCAACACAAAAACTTTTAGAAACCACTCCCCTTCAGCAAATTATATGGTGTCTTTGAGCAGTGGGTGAGTTCAGTGAGGGCAGATTCAGGAAAGATAAAAAAAAATCTTGGGAAATATGTGAAATATGTGTGTGCCTGGAGTAACTACAGAAACAGTATTCTTTTATTTTGTCTGATTTTCTCAGCTTGTGAATTTCTCAGGATTCTGGACTCAACTGGGGCAGGGAAAAGCAAAACTAAATAACACAGCAAGTTGAAATGTCCTGTCCATCACAAAGTAGTTAAAACCGACTCAAAAAATCTCTATCAGATGCCAAGTGGCCAGCTGGGATGTAGAGGTTACAAAACTCCCACATGCCTCCTTGGCCCTCGCTGCTACTTGTTAGTTGCATCTCTGCTGGTCAGCCCATATGGGGGCTGGCATTGCCAGGACTGTTCACACATGGTGTTTTAATCCCATCACAGTGCTGCCTCCTCTTCCAGTGTTGTGTCCTACTATGACTGGATACTGAAGGTGGCCAACAGCCACGGGAGGAAGCAACGGCCCTAAACTGGCATTAACAGTCGTTATTCCCAGGTGGATAACAATGTGCAAAGTGGACAATTAGTGTGTCACCAAGTTGGGGAGAGGCCAGAAATAGGGGCCTTGACACGGAGCCCAGCAGGGATGCTCTAACAGACGGCTCTGGTATAGAGGCCAAGGAGGCATAAGCTCAAAGCTGATGGTCTCAGCAACAGACGAAGATGTTTGTTTTTTTTGCACCAACAAGGGAAAAACATTGTTGATGTAAACTACACTGCTGGAGAGGGGTAATTGTATACAGTAAAACTAAAGAGCAGCCTTTAAGTATAATAAGTCTGCTGATATTGACAATGTGAGTTCAGTCTGCATTCTGAAACGCCAAGCCAATATAAGCAAATTAAAGTTAAAGATAAGATTTGTTCTGTTATTTAATCAAGAAAAGGCAAATACATTTACATTACATCAATGTATGGCACCTGACTTTATGTTTACTGTTACTATAATTTGAAAAGGGACAATGTTCATTCATCAACATTCAAACAAATGTTAATGCACCTTCAAAAATCTCTTCTAATCCCTCCCGTCTGGTGTTATAAGCATCCTAGCATTACAGTACTATATTTATATGTAATAATACAATATGAAAAACATACAACATTGTGGTAAAAACCTTATAATATTGACCGGACAGAATCCGATAGCTATTACTGTATACAGTGTGGGACCATGCACTAGTTTGTTTGAGAAGTCACCTCCCCTATTCTTAACTGTGCCACTCCTTAAAATAAAAAATAATGAGGCCAGACATGCTAAAAATCTCAGCACAGTGGCAACCTGGTTTTTACACACAAAAAGGCACAATATGTGCATAACAGATTAGCAACATGTGCTCTTTATACAAGCTGATTAGTGCTACTGAAAGCCTTCAGTATCCAGTACGTGTATAGTCTGCATTGGTGGTTCTGAGACAAGGACAGAGGGGACTGGTCTGGGACAGCTGCTGTTTTCACTGATTGAGAGCAAACTGAGCTCCAAATGGGGGTTGCACTGGAAATATTTGTTTTTGTAAAGCACACCAGTCCTCACACTTTTGCTTGTCATACGTTCAAGTGGCAGCTCGCTTCTGTGCCAAGTAGTGGTGGTACGCCTGATGATCAATGATCCAGCTGAGTCAGTCAACAAACTCGTCTCTGACTGTCTTGCTGCTTTTATAGAGCTTCGAGAAATGTTAGTGTTGAGTAGAAGTTCCCCACAGGGTAGATTAGACACATCCTAATTGGTTGCCAATGTACAGTATGTGCAAATTTCAGCATGCAGAGATACAGAGAGGAGACGCTGAAATCTGTAGTGGCTATGTGAAATAGATAGTTGTGTTTCATGCAACTCACACCCAGATCACATTCAAAGCTTTACAGCACTGATCCTGGCATCAGTCTGTTAACTGGATGTCTTTTAAGAGGCAGAAGTTATTGGACATTCAACTCCAAGAATTTTCAGCTGGAGCCACAACACAAATGTAAAAGGTGAATGAAGCTGAACTTCCAAATATGTTTGTACATTTATCACCTACTCTGCCTCCGATTGGCTGGTTGGTTAGGTTTAAGCATGAGGAGTGATGAGATAGTTAGGGTTAAAAGAAAATGTCAGGGTCGGGCCCAATCAGAGGCAGGGTAGGGGCGGGTCTTTCCATTATGTAAAGTTCGCAAAAGTATAAATATCAACATTTATGGATAAAGGCTGCTGATGGACACTTCTCCAACTCACCCTAGTTTTTACCCCCATTTTGCTGCTTGTGTTTTTCCATCTTTCCTAAACCACTTTTCCCTCTTTGTGCGCTCCCCTTTCACTGTCACCTTTACTCTTTTTTTCATTGTTTCTTCCTGTATTTTCAGGCCATATCCCGGCCTGCCTCTCTCTTGTTGTGCTCCTTGTAGAGTGTGGTCTGCTGTAATTGTAATTTTAACCCAGCCTCATGTGGGCTGCCAAGAAAACATTGAGATAACTTCATTCCATCTTATAGCCAAATGTTAATGACAGCATTTAACATTTATAGGCAAATGTTAATGGCGGTATTTAACATCTAAACG